TTGGCATACAATATATTGATATCTTATTATTATTATTATTATTATTATTATTATTATTATTATTATTATTATTATTATTATTATTATTATTATTATCTTAATTAAAACTCAATACGATCTATTAAAACCCAAATATGATTCATTAAATATTATCTTAATTAAAGCTCAATCGATCCATTAAAACCCAAATATGATCCATTAAATCCCAATACGTTACATTAAAGCCCAACTAACATTCACTAAAGCTCAATACGTTCCACTAAAGCCCAATACGATCCATTAAAGACCAATACGATCCACTAAAGCCCAATACGTTCCATTAAAGCCCAATACGTTCCATTAAAGCCCAATACGTTCCACTTAAGCCCAATACGTTCCACTTAAGCCCAATATGTTCCATGAAAACCCAATACGTTTCATGAAAGCCAATACGATCAATTAAAGACCAATACGATCCATTAAAGCCCAACTAACATCCTCTAAAGCCCAATAGAACCATTAAAGCGCAATACGATCTATTAAAGACCAATACGTTCCACTAAAGTCCAATACATTCCACTAAAGCCCAATACGTTCCATGAAAGCCCAATTTGTTCCACTTAAGCCCAATACATTCCATGAAAGCCCAATACGTTCCATTAAAGCCCAATCGGCGCATTAAAGCCCAATACGATCAATTAAAGACCAATACTATTCATTAAAGCCCAATCGGTCTATTACAACCCTATACGGTCCATTAATCCCCAACTAACATCCACTAAACCCCAATAGATCCATTAAAAACCAATACGATCCATTAAAGTCCAATATGATCCACTAAAGCCCAATACGTTTTATAAAAGCCCAATACGTTCCATGAAAGCCCAATACGATCAAGTAAAGATCAGTATGATCCATTAAAGCCCAACTAACATCCTCTAAAGCCTAATAGAACCATTAAAGTGCAATACGATCCATTAAAGACCAATACGATCCATTAAAGGCCAATCGGTCCATTAAACCCAATACGGTTCATTAAACCACAACTAACATCCACTAAAGCCCAATACGATGCGTTAAAGCCCAATAGGGTGCCTTAAAGCCCAATACGACCCATTGAAGCCCAATAGGTCATTTAAACCCAATACGGTTCATTAAACCACAACTAACATCCACTAAATCCCAATACGATGCGTTAAAGTCAATAGAACCGTTAAAGCCCAATACGATGCATTAAAGCCCAACTAAGATCTTATAAAGCCCAATAGAACCGTTAAAGCCCAATACGATACACTAAGAAAAGAAAAGTTTGAAAATTGGGGAAAATGAAAAATCCGCCGGAAATCTGCGGGTAAATTAATAATATCCATTAAAAAATAATAATAATAACTATTTTCAACTTTTTTCGGCGGATGCCGGAGTCCGCTGGAAAAGGTTGAAAAATAATAATATATATTTTTTAAATTGTACATTAATTTGCCGGTAGATTTCCGGCGGACATAGGATCCGTCAGAAATCCTTGAAAAATAATTATTAATTATTTTCCGGCGGATTTCTGGCGGCTCATAATTTAAAAAAAAAAATTAAATATCCGTAGGAAATTAATGTAATTAGATATAAATCCAATTCTAAAACAATTAATTAAGAAGTCCGCCGAAAATCCGTCGGAAATATTACAAGAAAAATATTTCCGGCGGAAGTCAACATAGGTTGACTTTTTGATGTCCGCCGGTATTCCGCCGGAATATTACCGGCGAAAATGTTCCACCAGAAATGCCTATTATTCTAGTAGTGTGTGTATTTAGAGGTAGGATGAGAGAGAAAGAGGAGAGAGAAAAATAGGACTCTTGAAAAGATATACAAATGATAAAAGACGTTGCACGTCCTCATCCTTGATTGGATGGAATACTAAGAATTAGATGGAATACTAATGGGTAACAAAAAAAAAAACATTTATTCATTGATTTTGGATAAATGGATAAAATAACACTCACAAATAAAATTTGTTTACCTATGCTATTGCCATTTGCCAAAAATGGAGAATAATTCGAAAGTTTTAGTTATGCCTTCTGCTCAAACCTATATTCCACATCCCACTTCAGGGTTGGCGGACTTAGTTGACCAAACGGTCAGAAACTATATGGTTAATATAACTAATGCCGTTTATCCAATTGCTTACCTGATAAACGCTTACTGATAGGAGTCAATATTATGATTTACTTTGATGCGCAAGATTTTTGTATATCAAAACATATCGAATGCAACAATTTAGTGGGTAAACGCTTACCTGAGTAAGAGTCGTCATCCTCGCTTACCGGGTAAGACTCTCCATCATTCTCATCGCTCTTACCCGATAAGATTCTTGACCTTTCTCATGTTCATCTGATGAGGAAATTTATCCGATAAATACTTACAAAGTAAGTGTTTAGTAAACGACCCCTTACCTCAAATCCAACATATGTTAAAATGAATAAAAATTTGTTGTCTCTCCCTTTAAGCTCTATCATTTTTATTTAATTTATTCTTTATTCCATAATATATATTTATGTGATTGGACATAAATAAAACTTGTGAATTTAGAGGAACAAATTTTTTATTCATATTAAGGGGTGTTTGGGATTGCTTATTTAAAACAAATTATGTTTTTTTTATTTATGAAAGTGTTTATTAACTTATGTGGTATCAAACCTCTGTTTTCTATTGGAGTGTTAAAATTGTAAACTGGTAATAAACAGTTTTTCATAAGTCAGGAAGAATTAACTTATCAAAAACAGTTTATTACCGGTTTGACACCGATAAACAGTTTTTTTTTCTTATCCAAACACTAGAAAACAGCTTATCACCGGTACCAAACTGAAATAAGTTAAAAAGCAGTTTTTATAAACAATCCCAAACACCTCTAAATAAGCAGACAATGGAAAGGTAAAGTTTTAGTTAGATGGCAACAATAATGGACCATCTACCACTCTTAATAAGATTAGGCAATTTTGACTAACATAAATTGTACTCCAATCTAGAGAATTATACAACCTTTCAGGCACAACATGTAAATATTTATGACGACATTAAGTTTGAAATTGCGCTTTCGAGAAAGCAATTCCTCATATAAATATTGCGTTGCGTATACAGTGTGACTCTTAATTTTTGTTTACATATACATCTTGAAAACGTTAAAAGAAAGGTGTGAATGGAGTTGAAGATAAAGAAAGGAGGAGTGGGAGACGTAGAAACGTTGGATCCGGTTAGCCCGACTGGGCAGTACTTCAGCATCACTTCTCCTCCTGTTTGTATCATTGGCATCTTTGAGTTTGACGACCCCATTGATGACTCACGCTTTGCTGCTACCATTGAAACCATCTTACTCCCCACCAACCCTCGTTTTTCTGCAATTATGGTAAGTCTTCCATAATATGTAGTTATTTACTACAGTAATTGGTCTCTTTTTCTCTGTAATCTCCATGACCATGGTATTGGTGATCATCATTATTCTAGTGAGGGCAAAGCAAGTAGCTCTAGGCTTGTGAAAATGACCCACCAAAACAGAAGGTTCAAGAATTATATGTATCGATTTTCTAACAAATAAATATCATACACATTTCTCATCTTTGCTGAGATTTGAACCCTGACTTTTTGAGAGGTTAGATCTCCGGCAATCTGGCTGGCTACCATTAGAGAATGACCCTTTGTCATGTATGGATGTTGTTTTGTTCCCTTATATTTTTTATGGATGATCTTCTGAAATATCTCTTTAGCCATTTATTGATTATATTTGCCTCATGTTTTTGAAACAAACTACATGCTTGGGTATTATACACGGTAGCTGCCGAAGAGAGTAACTTTGAGAGTTAACGAGCCTTAGTTGTGGTGTGATGTGGGCAGTTTGTGTAGTTTACTGCAATGCGAGATTTAGAACTTTTATGATGCGCTTTGTGGCTTGCATTTTTATCAAACTGCACTATACGGTGTGGTTTGTGATTTGAATCATCAAAATTCCACACCGCACATTATATATATATATATATATATATATATATATATATAAACATATTCATATACATTATCATTATTAATTAAAAATAGCTAATACATTAATGATCATCTATTCATTTATCAGTTTTCGTTTTAAGTTTTGTGGTACAAATTCCTTATTTGATTTATTTTCTTTTGTCTTTTGTCACGCATCATTATCGAATTTATTTTGAATCTTACTTTTTAGATGTATTTGGATTAATTACAGAACTCTTTGATTTGTTATTGTTTCTAATTACATATTTAGAATGTATTAGAACTTTTAATTGTATGGAATATAGAAACTTTTTCGTTAAATTTATTTTGATGTGATTTTATAATTATTGGCTTCAAATGTGCTAAAGTACAAACTGCGTCAACCGCACCACACCGCACCTTATTTCGTGGCACAGTTTTTTGCGAATTGAGACATATGCAGTGCGGTTTGGCCGTAAACCGCACCAACCCGCATCGCGAACCCCTACTTGTTTCACTTAAAAGATTAAATCTCGCTTCTCGCATGCATTTTAGAAGTTAATTGCCATTAGTTTACACTAGAAGGGTATTCGTGCAATGCATCGAGATAAATCTCGATTTTAATGTTTGGTTTTTATTATTTGTTTATATCGATATAATACGATTTTATGTGGTTTTGAGAAAACGGTAATGCTTTTTATTTTTTAATGAAATATAAATTTGAAGATAACATAAAAATTTAAAAAAAATAAATCGATATTAATATCAAATTAACTATTTAATAATTTATGTTTTTTTGGTGAAACTTCATTAATTAATTTTTTTTATAATTTAATTTAAATTTAATAGTTTTTTTTATAAATATAATAATTAAGTATTTTGTTAAAACTTAATAATTATCTTAATTATATTTTAAATTTTTTTATATTTTAAAATGAGATGTTTATCCACAGTTAGTTACTCGAATTCAAACATAGAGCTTTAATAAGTTGTACTTATTCACAGTTTACTTGTAATCTTGAATTTTAAGTAATATGCATCAATAAACAGTAATTTATGCATAAAAAATAGTTTTTAAGAGTATTTGTCAAATGATTTATAATACAGTATAGATTATTATATATTTATATTTATTTATTTGTAGGCCGTGTTACTGTAAAGATGATAAAAGTCTAATGATTTGAATAATCAAGTTTGCCTCGATGAATGATCCTTCAAGGGTCCAAATCAGTCTTTCTGGACTTTAAAAAATAAGGATCGGCCTAAAAAAGATATAGGTCAAGGATTGGACTTTTGATATTATCAATGATCAAATTAGGCTCTATCAACAACCAAATTGGACCCGGTCAACGACCTTTATAACAACTAGTTATTAGAATCATGTAGCTGATAACAAAATGACTTGTTTTTTCATATTAAAAATGGGTCCCGTTCGAGGACTGTTGTTTCTAGATCAATCTTAGCTTTTAGACCAAAGATTGATTAAGGAGGTGGATTTTTCTTAACATTATGCATTTCTATGTCTGTGTATTTAATTATTCTTTAACTGTTCATAAATAAGTAAATAAACAAGCTTTCATTTTTCTTTTTGACACTGCGATACTTGTATAAAATCAAACATCGACATGAAGTTACTAACGTCACATAATCTAAACATCTTGACCATATACATAGCGAAATACATTTCTCTTCGTATAACACACAAAACCTATATATTTGATTCTTTTTTTTTTTTTGAAGTATATAATATTTATATACGACAAATGCAACAAATAAACTCACATACCCTCCTCACCTATGGTGAGGTTTGAACCCCTGACCTCCGAGAAGGCCAAGGGCTACGATTCTTTCTTGCCTACAAAAGAGTACATAAACATAATGTTTATATAACATTAGAAACAATATATGTCTTTTCTTTCTTTTGACGTTGCTTAATTCCAAAATCTTTCTATTCGGATACATATCACAAATACAGGTAAGCTAGAGGCTAATCAGTCCATTCTAATCTTTGGAACTAAAATTTCAATTAAACAGTATCTAAGTTATTCTTTCTTTGCAACACGTCGTCTTTTTGGATCATGCACAATATGGGATAATTCCCCTTTTTTCCGGAAGAATATAATATTTATATTCAACAAATGAATATTTATCATCTTTGGTGAGATTTGAACCATTAAACTTTCAGGGGACTGATCTCTACAGTGAATCCTAGTACTGATAGACCAATGACCCTTTGGTGGCTAACAGCTCACTCCCCATCTGGGTAAGTTCCATATATGTCGATACTTCCACTCCTTGACTAACCACAAAAATGCAACAACCACCTGTTTTTTCGAGCACTATTTCTCAATTCAACCTCTCATTAAATTAGACCCCATTTTAACATAGGTTTAAAACTTGTTTTTAAGGATGATCTATCTTGCATATAAGATCAGTTTTGTTTTACCACAAAATTTATGAAATTACTCAGTGTATTGATCTTTGCCATTATCTTCCTTCATTTTCACATTATATGCAGTAATCTAACCAAAATTATAACGTATTTGGCGACAATAATCGAGCTTCATTTCACTGAAGAGTTCGATACGTGTTGGTCTTTAAAACTTGTTTATTCCTTCAATCTACAACTTGCATACGCTTATCTTCTTTCAGTTTTCAAGAATCGCCTGAATTAGCTTCTTTCTTTATATATTGCAAGCCCAACTCCTTAATTTCTTTCTCTAAACTGCAATACGCATCACGTAAATAAGGAATAAGAGACTGAATAAGTTTTTATGGCATGGAATATGTCTTTTTTTTCCTATTATTAATGCTAAAATAAGCAAATTGGCAACCTTTCTACAATCTTCTTCTCTATTTTTACATTTTTTGTTTTATTTTTATATTTCCTTTTTTCCTCCCATATCATATCATGTCTGTCTAAACTCAACCCAAAAATCAAAATCAAAGCAGATTTTTTTTATTAACCTGAATATCCAACTCGTTGTACAAGCCAACTGATCCCAAGACAACCACCTGCTTCGCGGGTAGCGTGGAGTAATCGCATTTGAATCTCCGTGGCCACAAAAGGATTTTTATTCCTCATTGAATTTGAACATGGGACCTCTAGACATTTTTGATCAAAACAGAAATTTAGTATCCACCTCTGTAAATCTAAGGACGTTTGTTTTCTAATCTATACTATATTATAAATCATTTGACAAAAACTCTTAAAAACCATTTTTATGCATTAAGTACTGTTTATTGATGCATATTACTTAAAATTCAAGATTACAAGTAAATTATGCGTAAATACAACTTATTAAAGCTTCATGTTTGAATTCGTGTAACTAACTGTCGATAAACATAATCAGATAGAGGATAAATATCTTATTTTAAACATAAAAAATCTAAAATATAATTAGGATAACCATTGAGTTATAATAAAATACTTAATTATTATATCTATAAAAAATTATATTATTGAACCAAAAACATAAAAAATGAATTAAATAAATACATTAAAA